AAGTAACTTTGTATATTTGAATTCGGAAATACACCTGGCTTACTGTACATTAACACATTTTGGTCATGTGCAAAATAAAAGAGCTTTAATAATACTACATCTGTTATATTAAGTTATTTTAATCTCCCAACTTGCCATATGCATGCTTCGTATGTTTGTATGTTTTCTACTTCATGAAACTTTCATCACTATCAGGTTTACAGTACCAAATTCTGATCCCAAGATCCATCCTGGAAAGTTGGATTAAAAATTAGAAATCCCTGCGAAGTCAGGAGAAAAAGGAACTTCTTACATCCACCTCATCAATTTCACAGCCAAAAGGGTCACTATAGTATTGCATTTCACTCCGTTTTCAAGAGGATTTTCTATTAGTGGTTGGTATTTTCAAAAATATTTGGCATGCTGTGCCATTTTACATTCTTAAGCTGTGGAAAAGCACAACTGTTTAGACCAACAATTTTCCTTATGCATAGTATTTCACTACTTACATAGTGAATCGCACTGTCATCACAAAACTGCCTATACGTAACACAAGTCAGATAAACCTTATGACAAAGTTTGGTTGAAGTCATGGTCAGCCTTCTTACTGTGTAGATGTAGCTCATCTTTAATTCCTCCACAGTACCTCTCCATACACGGACAGTGAAAACTCTTGTGGAAACCCTATTTTCTGTCAGGTAGAGTTTGCCAAATTCAGGTCTCAGAGAGAAGAAAAGTTCACCCTTCGTCAGTTAAATGTTATCTACTACGTATGGCTGAGCTTGTTCCCTGATGCTATTATCTGCACAGAGCTGTTACCCTGAGCTTGAAGCACATATTAGAACTACACAAATCTTCTATATGATCAATCATTCGATCAATTTTGTCATAGGGTCCCAGTTATTTAAACAAATCAAGAGTTAGTTTCTGACCCATCTGCTGTAGTATCATGTATTTATGTTGGCCTCAAACTCTTCAGGTTTGGGCAACTACTTTTCATTAGATGTCAACAATATAAACGAAGTGTATATATAAATATAGAACAAAAATAAGAAGTGGGGCTTTATATAGGAAACACAGCACTTGGAATTTTTTTCAGGATTTAGTAATTTTAATTTTTCATTAGTAAAACTACTCCAAAGGAGGCACTTTCAACAAAAAGGCAAGAATGCAGGCCACTGGGAAACCATGTGTTAGCAACAGTGTAACTCCAGAACCCCAAAACTCCACACCCTGGGTTCCTGTTCAGGACAGAAATTTACCATGGTGTTACACAAGCATTTTGATCATGGTTGCCCTGCATAGTTTTACATGAAGGTACATCACTAATGACCATTTGACAATTTAGTGCTAAAAAAGTACGAGTTCATTTCTTAATCTTCATTCTCCTAAAGCCTCATTAGAAATATTATACCTTATTTCTGTTACCATGAATGAGGTATATCAGTAGCACTTAAATAATGCCTGATCATCAACAGCAAATTACTTTGCAAATTTAGTAATTCTACATATTTGAAAGCATTTCAAATATTATTTCTGAATTTTTTTCTGATTGCTAACTCCAAACTGCTTGTCACTCTCAGCTCACTGAAAGGAACGACATTACCCCATCAGCAAACTGAATCCGATTTTGTCTCTTCAAATTTCTTAACTGAATATAAATAAGAGTAATTTTTGTTATTTTCATTATACCCAAATGAGATCTTTAAAGCATTTTTTAAAAGCCTTGTAATTTGTTTGTACATTAAATGAATCAACTGACTAGCAAATCAGTTCTTTGTAAGGGAGCAACAGAAAATGTACAACCTCTAAATGCAACTAAATGTTTCCTAAAACAAAACAGTATCTTTCTCCCTTTTCTCCTCCCCACTTCCAGCACTAACTTCTTTTGTACCTGCTATACTACAGTTTCCCCAAAAAAGGACTTGCATTTTTGTTTAACCTACTTCAAGACTCTGCTTAGAGTAAAATATGCTTATTGAATTAACACTATCCCTATCCTTTTCTTTGCATATATAGCCATGTATGGGGAGCCAAGAACCCAAAAGACAGAAAACATTTACCAAATCATATATACTCAAGAATTCATTGCCAACAAACATTCTAAATAATTTAATGCTAAATCTACACTTTCATCTTAGTGATCCTCACACAGTTCTGACCCCCTATCAAACTGTATCTGTATCTACCAGTTATACTCAATCATAGTACAGAAACATTTCTAGGTTTGCCTATACAGTTTTAAATGATTCTTCGCTCTGAGTATTTTAAATAAGCCCTGGGGTTTATTCAAAAAGATTAGAGATGGAAAATGGAGTTTTCTGGATAAGGTAACAGTCCATTTTATCCCAAAGGAAGCATTTAACTAACACAGTATTTTCCACACACTAAGGGAGAGTAAAATAAATGGTGTATGAATAGGACAATTTCTGTGAAAGAAATTACAGAGGCTATTAGATTTGAAACAGCCAACATATATGAGATTACAGAAATAATTAAAATAGAAAATTGACCTTTTCCAACAAATTTAATACCACTATATTATGTACCATATCATCTAAGCACTTGAAAACCTCATAACATACTAAAAAGATCTCAAAATATAGAAAATCCACGAACTTGCAAAAGCCATTTATTTCCAATCATGTTTTAAGTTCTCACAGTGACCAATACTTTATGGAAAGTATATGAAAAGTAGAGTTTTGATTGTGAATTTCCACTTACAAAATTTAACATATTATTTGCATGAATTATTATTAAAAAACCCCCCCATGTCTGTAGCAGTACTAAAAATTCAAAAAGGTAAATAATGCAGTCCCACTCAAAGTAAATGATGGCCAGGGTGACATTTTACATAAGAAAAATGTCTCACATTTATACAATTGCCACTGTGAATTTTTCTATCTCTATTTTCTATTGCATTTCCAATAAAAATATTCTCCTGCTTCTTACAGAAGAGTAATTTGTCACCTTTATTTCTGATAAGAAATAAACAAAAAAGTACTTTAAGTCTAAATGAAATCAAGTATCTATCCATACATGGGATTATTTCAATCCTAGTAATTATATCCTGTGCTTCCACTAAAATAAGAAGTCCCTCTCTTTAAGGAACTCTCTGTAGACTTGCATTTTCTACACAAAACCAGGTAACTGTATTTGTTCATCTTGCTCATGCTTGTCATTCCTTCCCATAAGATGCAATAACCTGTATTTTTTCTTATTATATTCAGGTTTCTGAGACAGTTGTCCATTCTTTGAATATTCTTACTAAAAAACCCAGACACACTTCCTCACCATACTCTCAGTTTTTGGAATAATTTAAAAATTGAAAGTATGACGTTGCTATGTAAAACATAAACCTTTTGTTTCTGTAACTGTATTGACCTCTCACCTCTCTGTATGTCTATATTCTTGATCTGGTAAGATTCTTCAAATACAGAGATTGATGAAATAATCAGTCAAAACAACTTTAAGATGTTCCTACTACCAATTTATATGGCTTCTTAATATTTATCACAAAAATATTTATGCTGAACAGTAATAAGATATGGTTTTAAGCAGGTTCACCTACTGTACAAACACAACTGGACACTAGTTCAGGAAAAGTGATGAAATTAAAAAATGATAGAATCAAATTCGAATAAAACACTAAAATATTACTGTTTAGGTGAAAAACAAATAATAAAACTTATTTTAAAATACGGCACTCATAAATTACACTACACTCATCCTTAAAACTTCAGCTCCCTGACTTTTTTTTTTAAAGTATATGGCTGATTTTCCAAAAGAAACACAGCCAAAAATGTGAAGCCAAACCAGGAGGCCCGTTAGCACAGCCAGTGAAACTTAAATGCATTCCTGTAAGTGACTTAAGAGCCAAGAGTTTTCTTTGCAGCCTAACACGTATGTTTCTAATGGCTTTCTCGTGAATCCCATTAAATGTATTAGAGAAAACACGGCACTAGCTCAAAAGCTCATCTAGCCCACCTTGTCACTGTTATCATTTTGCATGTATCTAGTACGATAAAGGAAGAACACGAGCATATGCTTGAAGTAGAAAGTAATGGGATACTGAAACAAAAATTCTAACTACATTACTTTGCTAAGCTTTTAATTTTCCAATATTCCCCTTTTCATTTGAAGAAATAAACTCTATAAAGTTGAATAAACTATGTATCACAACAAGAAAATACATGATGCAATTTTTTTATTTTAAGGAATCCTATACATTGTAACAATGGTTTTGTTAAGTATATGGAGCAGAAATTTGAATATCCTAGTTCTGACAGGATCAGATAAAAATCAGAAAAGGAGACAAAGCATAAAATGTAGAAGGATTTGTTTCACTGCTTCATCAGTTGAACCATATAAAGCAATCTGCTCTTGTATTCATATTTAAAATCTCAGTGGACAAGGCATATAATATAATCCAAAAAGAAAAAAATAAACATAGTTATTGCTACTGATTTATTAAACCTGCAGCTTGACTTTGTAATTTAATGGCTATTTGGAACAAAAGTCAAACCCATTTATTAGTATTATGACTTGAAATAGTTCAGTGAAACTTGAAATACTTCCATAATTCTCAGGAAGCCGAATTCTGCATCTTGCAAGCAAGAAAAATTCCACAACTTCAAAAAGAGAATGAAGCCAAAATAAATTCATATCAGCCTATCATTAGTTCATACCCACAAAATTTTCCTTTGAATAGCATTTACACTTTTTAAAACAAATTGTGTAATACACAAGGTTTTTATGAAACTCTGCCTACTCGGAAACACTAACTGATAAACAGTAAATAATAAATAGCAAATAATTAAAGTAAAACAAATAACACTAGCAAAATCAATTAAGAAATAATTTAGTCAGTATTCACCGTAATATTTAAACAGTTGCCAAAACAAAAAACGTGACTACAGTGATGATATTTTAAAAGATCAGCAATAAATAAACAGTATGTCCTTAGCAGTGCCTAGAAAGATATATTTCAGATAATTAGGAACAATGGCATCATATAGTACCTTCCATTGCCCTTTTAAAGAAGACTTTACAACTCCCACAGGTAAGTACTCCATAGTGGCAACCAGAAGCCTCATCACCGCAGATGAGACAAATCTTCTGGGGTAGCGATTCAAAACTGTACTGAGAACTTTGGCTGGTTTCTGTATCTGGCCTTCAAAAGAAAAAAAGAATTAAGAGAAATTAAACATCTATTTTTTGCAACAGTTAACTACTTAGCTGTATTAATCAGTTTTCTATTAAAAGCTTCCTTTTTAAATTTGCAATCAAGCTACAGAAGGACAAGAAAAAAAACAAAGTATGACTGCCTTTCTGCTTAAGCATTTGTCTCTACTAGGGTAAAAGGCACATCTGTAACATCTGGCTAGTCATTAAACAAGCAAGTAGTGGGCAAAAAGCACAGGTGCATTTTAATCCATTTTAGCTAAAAAAGGTACAATCTAGAAACACTTTGTTAAAACGTTCATCCTCCTCGATCAACAGCTCTTTTGAGTGAAGTCATACTGACTAATACCCTTTTTTTTCCCTGTACATAGAATGGTACAGAGACAGAATCAGATAGAAGTCAGCTGGATTTCAAAAGCCTCTTTCACATGGGAAATAACTAAGTTTCATGGCAGCTAGAAAAGTCTTCAATATTTGTCGCTTCCCATTCAGCTGCAGCAGTCACATCAACAGCTAACTATGGTGGGCACGCTGAAGAAAGTGAGAAGTACTTCCGAATTTCTCTCCAAGAAAATAAACAGACTAACCTACTTAATCATTATGTTTACAAAACCAGAGGATTTCCGCTGAAACTGTAGCACTGCATATACTGATTTTTGCATCTATTTCTAGGTAACGCACGGCGTCTTGGCATGATAGTAAGCTATTTCATTCCAACACATCAACATGCAAGTGTTTCAGTTTTCTTTTTCCGTGTGAAATTAACTTTTTTCCCCAAGTCGGGAATACTACTTCGGAGAACATTTGGGTACTCGTGCATATCGACCGGCTGTCAGTCGGGACAGTCTGGAGAACGCTCCGCTCCCCCCCTCTGGAGCCGGTCCCTTGCTCCCACATCAGCCGGCCCCGAACCACCGCGGCGATACGAACGCACCGTCCGCCGCAGCCTTGTCCTGCCGAAAAGATGGGGAGCGGCGCCAGCCGCCAGGCGAACGTTGTGCCGGTCTCA